GTGGACAGGTGGACCAGAACACCCGTGGACAGGTGAACCAGAACACCCGTGGACAGGTGGACCAGAACACCCGTGGACAGGTGGACCAGAACACCCGTGGACAGGTGGACCAGAACACCGGTGGACAGGTGGACCAGAACACCCGTGGACAGGTGGACCAGAACACCCGTGGACAGGTGGACCAGAACACCCGTGGACAGATGGACCAGAACACCTGTGGACAGGTGAACCAGAACACCCGTGGACAGGTGGACCAGAACACCCGTGGACAGGTGAACCAGAACACCCGTGGACAGGTGGACCAGAACACCCGTGGACAGGTGGACCAGAACACCCGTGGACAGGTGAACCAGAACACCTGTGGTGGACAGGTGGACCAGAACACCTGTGGACAGGTAGACCAGATCACCCGTGGACAGGTGAACCAGAACACCTGTGGACAGGTGGACCAGAACACCCGTGGACCGGTGCAGAAGTTTCAGAGTTACAGAAATCCCTGGCTTCTTAAGAGTACCATTTTTTTTTTTGTCAAGGCTAATTATATTTTCATATATTTTCAGTTTTGTTGTGTGTTTCCTTGACTGATGAAGCTTCCGGATCGAAGGCGAAACGTTTCAGCACAAAAAAAGAAACTGTCTAGATGACCTGACTGAAAAATGTTGGATTTTATACCTGGATTATTGAGCATGGACTTTGTTGCTAATTATATTGGTTCATTGTTTTATTTAAATTCGTTCGTTCAACCTTTATTTAAACAGATAAGTCATATTGAGCCTCGAAGACTCATTTACAAGTGAAATCTGTTTGGACAGACAATAAAAAGTGGTGAAAAATGACACATCGGGTTTGGAGACAAAAAAAATCCTAACACTCTTAACTGTTTGAAGGCCAACAGTGTGATAATCCATCCATCCATCCATCCATTTTCTTTACCCGTTTGTTCCATTTTGGGTCACGGGGGTCGCTGGTGCCCATGTCCAGCAATCACTGTGCGAGGGGCGGGGTACACCCTGGACGGGTCGCAAGTCCATCACAGGGCCACATAGAGACAAACGAGACAAACAACCATTCATTCTCTCACTCACACCTAGGGACAATTTACAGTTACCAATCAGCCTAACATGCATGTTTTTGGTCTGTGGGAGGAAACCGGAGCACCCGGAGAAAACCCACGCATGCACGGAGAGAACATGCAAACTCCACCCAGAAAGGCCCCTGGACCGGGGTTTGAACCAGGGACCTTCTCACTGAGAGGCAGCAGCTCTACCAGTTGTGCCACCGTGCTGCCCCCAGTGTGATAATGAAAAGGAAAAAAAAAATCTCATTTAAATAATTTTGTTAAACCACAGCTCAAAAGCAACTACAGATTTTCATTAGTTGATTTTTAGTGTTTTATTTTACCATTTATATCTTGTCTGTTTCAAGTCTTTTCATTGGCCTTTGTGCTGTTTTGTTTCTTAAGGAATGTGTAGAAACAAATGTACTTCTGTACGTGTTGTTGTGTTATGTTCAGCATTACTTCCTTTCTACAGCACAAAGGGTTTCAGTCAGAGAAGTTGTAGCATTCCACAGATCCAGTCGTTTATCCCGACCTGTTCAACTGGTTCTGAGACAGCAGGGCTCCTAGAATTTCATGCTACACTGATTTCCTCACATGTACCTGTGGGACTCCCTGACTGATGATTAGCACTGAGAGTCAGAATGCTGGAGCGAGGGGAACGTGCAACGACTCAACGGTCACACCTGCTGTCCTGTTTCCAGCTCTTTAATCAGATGAACACACCCGCAGGAGATCATTACTCAGACTACAGTTTGACAAGCACGCTGATGCATTTGCTTCTCAAACTGTGTAAGATGTGTCAAGGTCTGGTCAGCGACATGAAAGATGTCGGATCTTGCTGACATTATTTGAGACAATCTGTTCCTCACAGACAAGTTATACTGCTCCTGTGTCTTCATGCTTTCCTCTCTCCTTCCACAAGTTCTTTGAATACCTTTTAGTTTCAATCAAATCAATTTTTTTTTTCATAACACATTTCAAAACAACTGTCATGGGCCACAGTGCTGCACGCAAAACAACAAATTACAATAGCTGAAAGGAAAAAAACAATAAAAAACATGACAAGACAAAATAAAACCATTAGAGGAAACTAACATGCCGTATTAAAAAACAGAGAGTACAAATGTGTTTTAAGATGAGATTTAAAAACAGCCAGCGTTGAAGCCTGTCTGATATGAAGAGGCAGCTGGTTCCACAGTTTAGGACAGATGTGTAAAACTCAAAGCCCGGGGGCCAAATGTGGCCCTCGTTGACATCTGGCCCCCAAGATGATATGTGAAACATTAAATACTTTTCGCTTGAATTTTTTTCAGTAATCTTTGATTATGATGTCAAAAGTGCAACAGCCCCACCTCACTGAACAACTATCGGCCAATCTCTAAACTCTGCATTTTAGCCAAGGTTCTAGAAAAACTGATAAACTCTCAAATCAAAAATTACCTGGACTCATTTAACATCTTACCTCTCCATTAATCTGGTTTCAGGAAACAACACAGCACAACAACTGCTTCACTGAAGATTCTTAATGACATTGTTGAAGCACTGGATGCTAAGGATTGTTGTGCTGCACTTTTCTTAGACCTGTCTAAAACTTTTGACACTATGGATCATAACATCTTGTGTCATAAACTCTCAGAAATCGGTTTCTCAGAACACACCATTGGTTGGTTCTCTAACCATCTCAGATCGGAGGCAGTGTGTTCAACAGAATGATACTTCCTCCAGTTATTTAACAGTCAACAATGGTGTACCACAAGGCTCAGTCTTAGGACCCACCCTCTTTACAATCTACGTACGTAATGTAGATCAAAACATCCCTGATGCATCCTTATATTTCTATGCTGATGATACAGTTGTTTATTGTTGAGCTAAAACAGTTGATAAGGCTTTCCAGCTTTTGAAATCTGCCTTTAACATCATCCAGTCTGATTTGTTCCGCCTCAAACTTGTCTTAAATGCCGACAAAACCAAAGGGATGCTTTTTTCAAATAGGAAGTTGGTCCCAGCAGTTCTTCCTCTGATTTCATCCTCAAATGGTGTCCCCATTGAGTTTGTTGATTTCTATAAATATTTGGGTATCATGGTCGACTCGCATATCTTTTTTAAGCTTCATGTGGAAAACTTTGTAAAGAAACTGAAAGTTAAACTGGGTTTCTTTTTCAGAAACAGATCCTGTCTAACTCTGAATGCTAGGAAACACCTTGTATCTGTGACTTTCCTTCCCTCCATTGATTACGGTGACATTATTTACATGAACGCTCCTACAAGAACCCTGCAGATGTTGGATGCTGTCTATCATGGTGCACTAAGATTCATAACTGGATGTGATTATCGTACCCACCACTGCTGTCAGGATTTGGTGGTCGGGGACGAACCCAGTAGTGCAGACAGGACTCAACTCGGCAGATTACAAAAATAAATATTTTAATGGTGAATAAAGAACAAAATAAACAGCTGACGTGGCAGCAAAACTTACGTGACAAACAGAAGGCTCAGAGGAAAACTCAGGAAGGACTCAGGGAGCTCAGGGGAGACTTAGGAGAACGCAGGAGAACACAGAGACCCAACGAATACGACCCGACGAGGAACAAGACAGAACAGACGGCTTAAATACAGGGACAAGACGAGACGTGATTACAAACAGCTGTGACGAGACAAGGGTGGCACCAATTAAACTGAAGAGGAGACACTAGGGAAACACAGACACAAACAGAGCCAGCAAATGGTACCATCCTTACAACTGCACCCTGTATTCACTGGTTAACTGGACATCATTAACTTCACACAGACTTTCTCACTGGTACATTTTCATCTTTAAATCACTTCTTGGTCTGCTGCCTTCATACATCTCCTCCTACATGTCTCTGCGTGAGTGCAGCTACAGCGTGCGCTCTCAGGACATTATTACCTGCAGTGTTCCCTCAGTGAGGACTGAACTTGGCAAAAGGGTCTTCACCTGCTCCGCTCCTGTTTCCTGGAATATCTTACAAAAATATCTGAAGCTCTCGACCTTGACCTCTCCAAGTGGCTTTAAGAATCTGTTGGACTCCTGGCAGGGACCAATGCAGACATGTTTCTGTTTTTAGTTTTCTACTTTGTACATTCGCCTTAGAATCTAGCTGTTTTAGCTGCTTTTTTAGCCATCCTATTTGTTAAAAAATAAATAAATCTGTATGCCTTTTGTGGCTGTCTATTGTTGTCACTGTTGTCCATTGTTGTCATCATTCTTTGTTGAAATCAGGTCTCTCTTGTAAATGAGTCCTCGAGGCTCAATGGGATTTACCTGTCTAAATAAAGGTTGAATGAAAAAAAAAAAAAGTGCAACAGAGTTAAATGCAATTAATCAAACTCTTTTAGAGGAACCTGCAACCAAGAAAATATGTTTATCTTGTCTTAAGTTGATGTAGATTCTGAAACTGGCCCTTAGTTTGAAAAAGGTTTTAATTTTGGCCTCTTTGCAAGTGAGTTTGACACCCCTGGTTTAAGAGCTACAGCTGGCAACACCTTATCACCTTTGTGGACCAGCTTAGAATGTGGGGGGCAACCAAAAACAAGTGACCATTAGATCTGAGGGATC